AAGTAGATGTAACTTTTGTGTGGTTTACTTTTTAGCTTTTTTGAAATTAACTAATGACAGATTTCAGCTTTTTAAAATTACATTTTATTTCCTTTCATAGATTTGATTAATTCAGTTGAAGATATAATTATTTATTAAGACTTACTGGCAATTTTTAACTCTTACTATAAGTGCACGCAAGTTTCAAAATTAAATAAAGGTTTCATTGCCATCGATATGTTCCAAAATTTGCTATAATGGCTTAGTATTTACTTTTTGAATTAACTAAAATGGTTGTCAGCCCAGAGATGTTTAATTATCAATGACTGCCACCCTAAAGTATTTAAGAATGCAAATGTTTTGTAATCTCTTATTCAGATATTTGTAATGGACATATATGAAATATGTTGCTTGCCATTTTGGTAATATTTCAGTTTCTCAGATAATGTATAAATATACAATTTTATTTCACTGAATGCACAGTTTCTAAATACATATTTCTCTTATCTGTAGTATTTTATTTTAATTGAAGCCATATAGAAACTCCCATCACATTTGTCTAGTACTGTAGGTTCTGTGTAGAATGGTCTGTTATATTTGTTTTTAAATGTATTAGTTTAGTTTCAAACAGATGGGATGTGACTACTTAAATATGTATATATATATATATCACTAAATAAACTGCTCTTTTAACAGAAGAATTCAAGACTACTGTATACTTTTTCCTTCATTTAGTGCTGTGTTGGCTGCCTTCAGTTGATTATTGTAATTTTGCATTTGTAGTATCTTTTTTGTGTGTGCTTTAAATTCTTACAGTTAACATACTCAAAATTTAAGAAGTTTTTGTTTCCAGCTTTTAGTATATTTTTTGTGTTGTTGTTTTAATAAGTTGCATTTCACCTACCAGAAGTTGTTAACATTTTAACTTGTAATTCACCTTTTAAGAAATACATACATTCTCTAAATTTCTTGTTTCAAGAATAAATTTGTGAAATAAATTTGTTTAAAATGAAGAACATTATGAAAACTTTATTGACTTGTAAAATTACAGATGTTTAGACAGCCATAATTTAGAATGTATTGGTTGTCCTGATAAAAAGAAAGTTATTCAGTTATTCTGAAACTGTATTCTTCAAATTAGTAGGCTCTTTGTGTCCTGATAAGATCTTTTGCACAGTCTAAAGGAGTCAATGTATTCCCTATGATATTATTGTGTTTGCCATGGTGTGACTATAAGATCTTGTAAATAATAGAAAAAAAACAAAAAACTTTGTGCCTCTGTTGGTTAACTGATGAAAATCAGTAAAAATTTTGGATTAATTTGCAATACATTTATTATGTTTAATTTTTTTTCCATCCAATTAGAATGATGTCAGTAAGCTTTCAGATGTGGAGAAATTGTTGCTGTATCTTCAGTTGCCAGCTGGTGTTCCATCAGATGTTGATCCATTAAAACAGTATGTTTTTGTCATTTATTGTGTTACTTTAATAAGTCTCTTGAGAGACATTTACCATCTTCTTGTCTTTTTTTTTTTAACAGAAGTATGTATTGCTTGTAGTTATAAAAATATTTTCATAATGATTAAACTTTATTCAAATTTACTATTGTACAATGAATGTATAGGACTATATTCAACACTGAATAAAAACCATTCAAATAAAAATGTATCTTAGTATAAATTTGTTAATTCAAGCACAGACATGGGTCAAAAGTATATTAATGAAATTTTGTATATATATAATCAAATGACAGTGTTAACTAAGAAGCAGTCATAACATACGTATGTCCTTATTGTACTGTTAACCAGGCCTGATCTTCATTTTTAAATGCAGTGCACATAAAGTTTATCATAAAATGTTATAAAATTTTGAAGGATGTATAATATTATTTTAACTATTACTTTTTATATAAATAGAGAACTAGGATTGGCTAGGAAAGAAGTCAATGTTGATTCCATAGCTATTCCATCAGTATAGTGATACAAATGCTTTCAAACAGTCGATTTGATTCTTTTTCCTATACAACCCACAAATTTCAAAAACATATGTTTAAGAATACACATTGAACTCTTTCTTGATTAATTAATTCTGTGGTTAGCTGTATTTTCTCTTAAAGAAAAAGTATTTCTGCCAAAAGATTTAACATTAAATATGGCATAACAGATTTTACAGTTAAGCTTCATTTCTGTCTTCTTGTCTCTCAAAGATTAAGTATACTGGACATTTTAGAGAATTTTCACTAAATAATGTGGAAGCTTATTTTTATATATGTACCAATGTTAATATAACTAGACTTTAAGAACATCATAAAAAGTAATTCCTGGTTCACTGTCTTATAGTCTCATATTAAAATATTCATCGCATGTTAAGAAGTTACCTTTGTGGTATTTTAAAGTAAAAACTGACTTCCTGACTAGTATTAGATAATTAGACATGCTAACAGTAGCAAGTTTGCTCAGAAAATAAGGAGAGTAACTCTGAATCTGGTAACTGAGTTTTCTTAGTTTCATTGAAATAATGAGACTAGGCAAATTTGATAAAAATAAAAACAATCTTTATCATAAAACAAACAAGAAAACACAATGTATGTACTTGTGTGCAAGAAAACTGTTTCTTCTATTAGAATTTGTTTATCTCTCCAGCTTTCTTTTTATAAAGATCAACTTCTGTTAAAACTAAACATAATGATCTTATAGTAAGCCTTTATTTGACAATCTCTTAGTAGAATTGAACCAAGAAAGCACATCTGAATTCTATAGGAAAGCTTGGTGTTTTGTCGGGTCGAGAATGTCACATTTACATTTAGACAATGTCAACTTTGCTGACAAATGATATTACAGTTGCTAATCTTTTCATCCCAGATACTATATGCGACTGCAGTATACTCTCAGGCAGAATAGACATTATCTACTATAGAAAACAAAAAGACAAAACAACTAGAAAAAGAATATTTTGATGACTTTCTGGACCATATGATGAATCTCAAACTGCATACACACTAAATAAACAAAAAGTTTTCAAAATTCCTCTATCACTACAGCAGGTAGAAAAAATGCTTGCATATCACACTCCCCTCCCCACTGTACCTTCTTCTGTTTCTTTAAAACCACTAACCTTTCTATTATGATGTGGTGAAGGAACAGGTTAACTGTACATTATTCAACGTTATTCATAAAAACAAGTACAAATAATATGGATGTCACAAACGCTTTAACCCTGTAATTATGGACACCCCTGTACTGTGCATGTCACAAGATTTTACTTTGTTGCATTCTAAATTTTATTAAGCAATCTTACTCTCAATGTATACCAATGAAATTAGCATTAAAATGTACATAAAAGCTCAAAATTTTATATTATCTCAATTTTAATTCCTTTATTTCAAAGGAAACCTAAAAGAAATATTCTTAAACTTCATTTTGATGCACAATTTCACGAAGTTTTAACATCTAGATTTTGTAACATGAAATCAGTTTGGATATACTAAACATATATATATATATATATATATATATATAGAGAGAGAGAGAGAGAGAGAAGTAAGTATAGTAGTTATGTCTGTTATTACTACTATTATTACTTTACTAACGTACGGTAAGGGTAGTAGGTAAGAAAGAAGTAATATTA